CCTAAATTCACTGAACAGAACTTGGATGTGCTTCCTTACTCCTTCTACTCAATCTTCCATCTATGCATAGTTTGTAAGTATTTCGATGCCACTGTTGATTCAATAAACTGTAAAGGCCCAAGCCATAGGGTAAATCTTAAGCTTTCCTGCGTATTCACCCTTAATATCCAGAAAATCATAGCCCCTCACACTTTCACATGAGGATTTTTCCTGTGGGGATTCACTTCTTTCCATGGTCACACAGGTTGCCTAAATCTTCTCACTGTTTTTCTCTCTTTTCTTCTTTTGTAATCATTCCTAAACAGACTTCTATTGTGCAAACATTCATCTTTCCAATCTAGCACCAGCATGTGAAAAATATTTAACATTTAAATACATAGCCCTGTTTACAACTTTGTAAAATGTACAACAATTAAATTACTCTCCATCATCTCTAGGGTAAGGTAAAATATTATGATTGTTTTTGAGCATTACCTGTTTTCTTTATAGCTTCTGTATAACAATAAAAGTAAACTGTCACCAGCCACTTCAGGCTGCTTGAAATTTCTATTCATCTTCCACATCCTCCCTACTTGTGACTTTTCATTTTGTTTTCCTCACCTAACTTGAGTCCTATTCATACCCTTCTCTCAAAAGTATATGATTGTTTTATACTTCTTAATCAAGGCCTAATTCAGGGTCAAGCCACTTATGGAGTTTTTCTTTTGCCTTCTCGACACATTGGTGTAATTAATTATGCCCTGACCTGATACACTATGTGCATTTGTGCACACCAGTATTACAGAATTTAAGGCATTGTGTTGGAGTCACTTTAGTGTATTAGGAAAGCTTTAAATGTGTTAATATTATATATATTCAAATTATTGTATAAGAGGCACAATACAGTTATCTTTTCAACCTCCAGGTACATAGTACTCAATCCAGAGTAGCAATTTGAATGATACAGTACTTGAGTTCCTGTGCAGGAAAAATATAGCTGCAGGACAGGTGTTTATAGCAGACATGTAAGGATGACTGGAAAAGAAATTCACTCAGTAGTATGTTATGACAATGGCTTCCAAATTCCTTCAGTATACTAATTGTTATTTTTCTACCCTATATCTCAGTACTCCAGACAAAGAATATCTTCTGCCCATTCATTTCAGGAATGAAAAATTAAAAATTATAGAAATTTGGTATTCTGACCTGCAGACTGTTTAGAATTCACTAAATGAAGTTTGTATCCCAAGATGACCATTTACAAGTATGAAAGAACTCATTTTCAAGTCATTCAGTTTTGACTTGAGATCTACAGTTTTTTTTTAACTTTAAAGGTAAAAGAATGAAAACATATTAAGAGACACAGACATAAACAAAATAACACAAAACCAATAAAAGCAGTAGAGAATTTCACACAAGGTGATAGGAAATTAACAATGGTTGTTGTATTATATATTGTTATTTTCAAACTGCTTACTCAGATAAACAAATATAGGCATGTAAGATTGATCAAACAATTGAACACTAACTGTTCTTTTCAGTAAAGCAATAGATAAATGGATACAACTAGAGACCATACTCACAAGTGAAATAAATTAGACCCACATGTATAAATACGGTATTGTCTCACTAGTGTTAGAACCTGAAATAAAATCTAAAAGGTACAGTAGATCTTCTGAACAAGAAAGAAACTTCTCAAAAGGAAAGAACAACTGGGATGAGGGAAAAAGAAAGATAAAGAAGGGAAAATATGGATATATGTATACACGGGAAAACTAAGATAGTTATAGTACTGATTTCTGCTGTTTTATTGAGATCTACAGTTTCATCACAGATTCAAGTTGTACACCTGACTACAGAAACTGTAAACCTTCAAAGGTAAATTCCGTGTCTGGCACTTACTGGTATGACCTTGAAAAGCCATTCTATTTTGCTGAATTTAATTCATATGTTTAAGAAAACAAGCCAATCAAATAAATAATCTAACTGGCATGTTATTATAAAGATTAAGATACAATATAGGTGACAGATAGACAGTAGTTAGGTTTAGTTTCCTTTCCTTTGCTGTTGATGGTGATCTTCTGCTTGTGCTTTTGCAATTTCTGTCCCTTGTTTTTGCAATTATATTCTGTTCAAGAGTATTTATTCACTGAGGGATAGTTTAATGCCAAGACATAAGGGCCTTAGATGTCATAAACTCATATGCATGCTGGCGTAAGTTTTACAAATCTGTTCTCAAGAGTGTAAGTACCTAAACTGTTCATACACTGTTTCATTTTAACTTATATTTATACTCCTGCTCCATGTCCTTCTCAAAGTCACCGATAACTGAATCCAATATAGATATCAAGTATTATTTTATTACCATACCTGTTCTGGAGAAATGATCTACTATTATTAGAAGATGAGCAGAAAAGTTAAACATTATTTCTACCCTGGCAAGTTTAAAGCAGCTAGAACCTCTAGGCAGTCAAAGAATTTATGCAAATTCCTTTAAATCTATCACTTTTATTTCACTTTTAAAAAAACATAGATCTTTAAAAAAATCATAAGACCTAAATTTCTACATTACCAAAAATTAATTAAGGGAAATGAGTATAAATTCATAGCAATAAAGTCACTGTTTAATTAACTTGCAATCTCACATTCATTTATTCTAGATATATTTCAGTTTGCAGTTCTGAGTTCTACCTGTACATTTGCTGAAGTCTGAAAAATCCTTCAAATTAGTATGCATTTCTCTTCAAGGTAAATAAAAGTAAGTTGTACCTGCTTAATATTGTAAAAGTCATTTGTGACAAACCATAAAGTAGTATAAAATATGACAGCAAATCAGGAAAAATTGAAACATTTTCTCTATAATGAGGAATAAGATCAGGGTTTCACTCTCTCCTCTCTTCTTCAGTGCAATACTAGAAACTTTAGCCAGAGAGATCAGGCAAGAGAGAAAAACAAAAAGGATGTGTGTAGGAACAGAAAATATAAAAATATCCTTATTCACATTGACATAGTTTTTTACATAGAAAACTCAAGAAATTGTACCAAAGGACTCAGATATAATAAATAAATTCAGCAAAGTATCAGGGGACAAAATCAATACTGTTCTTACACACCAAAAATGAATCCATAAAAACAGAAATTGGAACAATCCCAATGACAGTAGGTTGAGAAAATCAAATGAACATAAGCAAGGACATGAAAGATCTCCAAAAGAGAAACTATAGTATTATGAAACTCTGCATAGAGATTGGAGAGGGCATCAGAACATGACAAGGCAGCCCATTTTGGGATAGGCAGGAAAAATATTGGTCAAAATGGTCACATTATCAAAAATAATATATAGATTCAATGTAATCTCAAGAACACTCTTCGTGGAACTAGAGAAAACAATCTTAAAATTTATGTGAAACTAGAAAATACTCAGAAGAGCAAAACACATCCTTAGCAATAAGAGCAAAGCAACATGCACCACAAGGCAATACTTCCAGTTATAAGGCTATAATGATAAGAACAGCATGATAATAATACAAAAATAGATGCACTGATCAATGAAGCCCCAGGCACATTCAGCCATTTGATCTTCCACTAAGAGGCTGAAAACATACACCGAGAAAAGATAACAGCTCTAAGAAATGATGCTGGGAAAGGCAGTTATCCACATGCAGAAGACAGAATAGAAAACCATGTTTCTCATCCTCTACTGAAATGAAATAAAATAGATAACACTCCTAGATATAAGAGAAACCCTGAAACTACTAGAAGAGAAAGTTGGTGAAACTCTTGAAGGCATAGGCATATGCAATGACATTCTGAACAGACCCCAGTTGCACAAGAAATAACACCAACAATCAGCAAATGGGTTTGTACGATATTAGAAGGCATCTGGACAGCAAAGGAAACAATCAGCAGAGCACAGAGACAACTTACAGAATGGCAAAAATGTATTTGTCAGCTATTGCTCAGAGGACTTATATCTAGAATTTGTAAAGAACTGAAAAAGTCCTCCTCCCCCAAATGAAGACCAAATCAAAAAGTGGGCAATTTAAAGGAATAGATTCTCAAGAGAAAAAAGGAAAAATGGGCAATACATTAAGGAAAAAATGTGCAACATCTTTGGTCATTATATAAATACAAATCAAAACAACACTGAGACTTTAGCTTATACCAGGAAGAATGGCTATCATGAAGAACTCAAAAATCAATAAATACTGGAGAGGTTATGGGGACAAATGAACTTGTTTAATCTGTTGGGAGAAATATAAACTAGTACAATTACCATGGGAATCAGTATGGCAAATCTTCAAAAACCTAAAAGTAGAAATTCCCAGTTTGACCCAGTTATACCTCTTCTGGACATCTTTGTGGAAAGATGTATTATATATTACAATGATGTATATATCCCACAATTATGAACAATTCATAATAGCTAAACCTTTGAAGCAGGGTATGTGTCCATCAAAAGGTTATTGGATATAGCAAATGAAATATACTCACAACAATGCAGTACTAATTTAGCCATAAATAAGGATGCATGTGAGTTATTTGTAGAAAAGCAAATACATTTTGCTAAGTGAAATAAATCAGATGCACAAGGTTAGATATCAGATAGTTTCTCTTGTATGAGAAATCCAAATGATAAATAATTCAATATGCAAAATACAAGAAAGATGACAGCAAATGGAGATAGATGTTTTGGATATAGGAAGAGAACCTAGGGCTGAAGGAAATGGTTAGGAAGGAAAGAGAAACAGAAGTAAAAAGATCAATATGCTATATATATGCCAATATGCCCTGGTGAATAAATTCATTTTATATCACAAACATATACTAAAAAAAAATTTGTCAAGTGAAATATGACAAGATTATTGTGCTAGTTTAATTGCATGTACTTTTATACAAACTCAAGTTGAGTTAGTTCTAACCAGAATCTATCTAAAAGATTTGGTGTTCTAAGCAAAGATACAGCTGCCCTGATAGCATCATTTCCAGCTGTGACACTGTAATTGCAGGCCGGTACTCACAGCTGACATGATGAGCTCTCCCCCCAGGTTCTGGATCTCAGCTTTAACTTGGCTGCAGATTTTCAGTTGGTGGGAGTAGAATTTAATCTGTTCCAGATAGGCCAGCAAGTCCTGTTTGCACGATGGATCTGGACACTAAGTAGGAATCAAAGATAGAAATGAGAAGAGCAAAATAAATAAGAGGAAAAACAATGTGAGTAAATATTGGTATTACAGATAGCTGATGAGCCTTTTGGTGAGCTCATTTTCCTACATCTAGCCCATGTAGATTTGGATATGCTTCTACCACTAAAATAGTTTGTTCATTTTTCACCCTTTGTTTTGGTCAAGGTTTACAAGGGAAAGGATTTAATACAGGACACATTATTTTATAATTTTCACCCAAACAGTCAAATGTAAAAGAGTGCAGGAGATCTGTCCACACACTAGAGACCCAAAAAATCCAGCTGAGGGCCTGGATCCCACTGCAATGTCCTGCACAAGTCCAACTGAAGACCTAGAGCCCATTCCAAGGCCCCTCATGGATCCAACTGGAGGCCTACAGCCCATGACAGTGTCTCACACAAGTCTGTATTAAGGATCTGCACTGAGAAAATGCAAAGGTCAGTGGTGGAAGGTAGAAAGTCTGTATCAGTGGGATGAAGGACCTGGGCCAGCAGGTTGAGGGATCTGCACTGCAGCCAGGAAGCAATCCTCAAAGTAAGGACCAGCACTCCCTGGAAAAGAACCACAGCCATTCTAATCAACCATGAGGTCCTGAGCTCCTCCAATGATGATAACAGCTGAGTTCTTAACAAGAAATCCAGCATGACAAGCTTCTCCAGGGGAATCAACGGCACATCTTCCCCTCCAGTTCTCCTTTTATGCTGTTAGTAACAATCCTCAGGTTGGCCTTCCACACCCAGAACCACACTGACTCAGTTCAACTGGATGTTACAAATTGACCACTAGTTAACCTATCACACCCTTAATTACTTCAGTTTAGACAAAATAAATGTCAAAAGAAGTTTCCAACATGTAAAGGTACAGAAATAAACTGCCTTCAATGTATGATAAACATAGAAACTTCCAGATTACATTTTTTAGGAAAACCCAAAGAAATATTTAAACTGCAATTCTTCCCTTCATCTAGAGTGATGATTAAAATACACCTGGTGATCCATAGTGCTCCATTGTCTATTTTGTACTATGTACACAGAAATAAATTATCTACAAAAAACACATTATGCAATATTACTGTTGCCATCAAATGTTCTTGGCTATTTACAGACAAAGGAAACCATGTCCATCTTAGGTAACCACTATGATAGAATAGGAGCTGAGAAACAGCACACATTTCTCAGGGCTGTATTAAATTTTGTTACCAAAGCAGCATCTGATACTGTTTAATCTTCTGTAAAGAGACCTGGAAAAACACTATAGTTTTAAGTTTTATCTTAGCATTTAAACATTGTGGGTTAGGGTTTAGTCTTTGCATTCTTTTTCCTATGTAATGATTGCAGATTTTAAAAAATTTCCCCTGATTCTGCTTTTGATAAATTTTCAAAAGAATGTGGAAATCTAGATACACTTTATATGCAAAGCTATTCATCATTGTTGCACTTATAATAGCAAAGTTCATTCCTAACCTAAATGTCCTAAAGTAGTGGAAAGAGTACAAAGGTTTGCCTGTACCATGTGGCATTATAGAATCCCAAGAAAGTGAGGCTTTCAAAGGACTGCAGGAACAGGTTTTTGGAACATAAAAAATAAGTATGTATACATTATATATACATTACATCCTTATTTTTACTATCTAGTAAAATTCCAATAGTTGTTATTGCTTAGAGAATACCAACAAGATAACCAAGTTCACACAAGTTCAGTATGACACAACCATTATAAGTTTGCTCAGGCTACTGTGCCTTGGGAGTAATGCCAGTCTTCTCACCAGCTCCATTTTGTTTAGTAAGTAGTAAATAGCCACTGTGTTTAGTACAATCCTATCCTGAATTGACATTCGTATTTGTAAATTGTAGTCTGCTTAGTGTGGATTTTTTCCTTATAGAGCAGCATCACTATAAAATTCCTGATAAATTGATTTGCAGCGTAATAATTAGATTTTTGACCAATAGTCAATGCTGCAATTGCTCAAGTGTAAAGAAAATATGCAGTCTTTCCCAAGAGGCTCTCTGAAAGCCATGATAGAGGAATCTATGATTCCAATAAGGAAAGAATAAGTCAAGTAAAAAGAAAGTTTGAACTTGCACTTCTGAAGTTGAAGGTTACTTGATTGGGATTTATCTTACACTTACAGGATTGATGAAAATCTTGGTTATATCTATAGATAGAAGTCAGTATTATAAATGAAGTAGAGAAGCAAATAAGTAAAAAATGTTCATAAACAAATAAGTAGCAAAATCTCAGGCTATAAAAGTGATTAAAATTCTCCTCGTTGATATTTAGAAAATCTTCCTGAGTGTTGTTAATTGATATGTAATATTTATAGATATGTATGAGGTAAAGATCTATCTATCCACATAGTGTAATGATCAAGTAAGAGTAATTCTCATTTCTTTCTCCTGAAATGTTATTTATTTTTATGCCTCTGAGTTGTTTTATTTTCCTAGAAACAGTAGTAGAAGAATTATTGATTTCTACTTTAGGAATACTCTTCTACTACTGACGAAAACTTTGGGCCATTTGTAATTCTTGTTTGGAAAAACATCTATTTATTGTATTGGTCATTTTGATTGGATTATTGGGTTTTTTCTTATTATCGATTTACAGAAATCATTATATTTTGGATATTATCTCTCTATCAAGTACTTGGTTCACAAACACTTTTTCCTAATCCATAGATTTCTGGATGTAACACTGTATATTGTTATATGATATGCATTAAATATACACAGTTTTATAAAAATTTAAAAGTCATTTAATGCTTTTTACACCTTTTACATTTTTGGGGGGATTAAGAGGATTGTTTACTGGAAATAAGAAAGACAACAGTTCCTAGATTTCCAGGAGGGTGTCCCAAAAGGGGTGGCCCTATCTTTTACATTTTTGTGTAAATGTAGTAGAAAACTTTGCTCCATGGATTTTTAAAACATTTCTGCCCTTGACTTTATTTTTCCTGAATAAAATTTGCATTAAATAACTTTAAAGGAATATTTCCAGGGAATTTTTGGCAAATCAGTGGTAGGTAGGATATCACAGCAAATTTGGTTATCATTTCCTATTTTATTAAAACGGGAGATGTCAACTAGGATATCTGGTTAGCTCTTTAATGCATGGAGTTTTAAAATTTAAACTACAATCACAGGTATCATAGGTAATCCTGTAATCTACTACAGGTAAACAGATGGCATGTCAGCATAAGTAATTTTCTCACATTAAACTACTTTTCACTCTTCTGACAAGCTCCTTGGTAGCAACACAGAGCACATCATTTAGAAATAAGAATAGTAAAAAATGTTCATTCCCTTTCAGTTGAATTTTAGAAGTGAATTAGCAAGGTGAACATATTTAAAGACCGTTATTCCATAATCTTGGTAAATTTTTGCCCATACTGGGGAATTAACTTTATTTAAGATGCATTTAAAATGACTTTTGCAATAACAGATAACAGTTTAAATTCTGCTAAACTACCAAAGTTTGTTAATGAAAAGTATTAGATGTCATGGTGAAGTTCAAGAATAGAAATTTTAAGCAGTGTCATCCTGTGACCTTTCATTCCCAGAGGGTTCATTACTCTACCCTTAACCCAGCCCAAGACCTGTCTCATTTTAGGTTCCTCAAGATCACAAATCACCTGTGATCTCATCCCTTACTTCACTTTTATTATCTCTTTCCCCCCAGTGAAGGTATCAACGTAAAGTCTCAAAACCAATGCTGCCCTTCATCTCTATAACCCTCCTCTCTTTCTCCACTTTTCTTCTTTTTTCAGAGCAAAATCTTCTAAAACTATTTCTTTTTCTTCAGCATCAGATTCATTTATTTTTCTTATAAGACTTACAAAGTTAATTATGAGATAATAGATTATGCAGATTAAAAATCAGGCTAATAGGCCAAAGAATATATAAAGCATTCTTTTATCTGAGTAACCAATGTAAAGTAACAATATGTAATACAACCATTGTTAATTTCCTATCACCCTGTTTGAAATTCTGTACCTTTTTTATTGTTTCTGTGTTGTTTTGTTTATGTCTTCGTGTTTGTTAGTTTACTTTTGTTTCTTTCTCTTTAAAGTAAAATAAAAAAGAATATGTAAAACATGTGAGACAATTGTACTAAGTCAAAGCACACTTCTAGATAAACTGCCTGCCCTGGATCACAGTCTATTTCTTTCTCCATCTTTTTTCCTCTTTTTTTCATAGAAGAGAAACCACGCAATTTTAAAATTTGGTGTCTTAGTTATTTTACTTAACATTATGGTCTCAAGGTGGATCCATTTGCCTACAAAGGACTCCCGTTTATTCTTTATGGTGGGTAGTACACCACTGTGTATAAATACCACATTTATTTTACCCAGTCATGGTAAGCTGACTCCAAGGTTTAGACATTATGAACTGTGCTGTTATGAACATGCATATGCATGTGTCACTGTAATACGATATAGTTAACTATTTGGGGGAGATACCTAAAACAGGAATAGATAAGTTAAGTGGAGTTTCTACTTTTAGTTTTCTGAGGAAACTCCGTACTGATTTCCATAGTGTTTGTATCAATTTACAGTTCCACCAAAAATGAAAAAGGGTTCCTTTCTGCCCATAGCTTTAAGCATTTGTTATTGATTTCTTGATGGCAGCCGTTCTCTCTGGAGTGAGATGACATCTCAGTGTTGTTTCAATTTGCATTTTGTGAACAGCTAGCAGTGTTGAATATTTTTTCTCAAATTTATTGGCCATTTGTATTTCTTCACCTGAGAAGTACCTCTTAATTTCAAATATCCATGTTTTCATCGAGTCTCTAAATTTGGCAGATCTATTTTTGGAGGTTATATATATATATATATATATATATATATATATATATATATATATATTCTGGATATTAATCCTTTCTCTGAGGAGTAGCTAGGAAATTTTTTCCCATTATGCAGGTCTTCTCTTCACTCTGTTGATAGTTTCCTTTCCTATGTAGAAGCTTTTTAA